CCAAAAATTTTTAATCATTTTTTATAAATTTGAATGTCATATTTGGGCAGATATAGATTTTGTTTTTGAACTTGTGTTTTTGTCTTCTTTTTCCTTAGTGAAACCTATTTACCCTAATATGTTCCTTCAATTCACGTGAATGATCCACCTTCAAAATTAAAAAGACATGGAATTGCCTGATTGGCATAAATTTCCATATTTAGAGGCATGTTGACAGGTCATGTTTCAGAGAGAATGATAAGTACATACCGAAACAATTATTGTATGGATAGATAAAAATAAAAATGCATATCTTAATTTATAAACCAAAAGTTTCATGTTTTGCACAGTGGGATTTGTATTTTTTAAAAAAACGGAAGAATGATGCTGCGGATGGTTAAATGAAAAGAAACATATTTATGAGAGAACAAGCTCTTTAAAGAAATAGGCAATCAGGCAAAGGCAAAATGGCTGCAAAATTGACTGCCAATGGTTGAGGACTACACTTTTCAGGTGAGATATTTATCACTGTGTCTGCCTCTGTCAAGATGGCTTCATCATCCATATGTGTAGCCATACTCCTCCAACTGACTACACATAATTTCTTGAGATCTATTCTACCCAATTTGCAATAAAGTAAGTAGAAGTAAGTCCAGATTAGCTAAACACATGAAATCGTACAATTCAATAAGCAATCAAGTTATTTTGTTGTATTTGCAGGATTTAAAAGTCATTGTAGATCATGCAAATCATACGTCACTTGTACATATTTCATGGATTTTATTGTTTATTTTACTCATTTTTCTGTAAAATAATAATTCATGTTTAATTTTAATTTTGTAGCATGTTCCATGATTTATGATTTAGTACAAATTGTCAGTGCAATAAGTTAACTTAATGTTAATGCATTAGAAATAATCATATTCAATTAATGAGCTGACAGCACACACACACATATATAAATATTTACACACACACACACACACACACAATCTTACAAATAAAAATTTCAAATGTACTTTCAGATTTCAGTCTCAATACTAGACTTGTCTAGTAATCAGGCAACTCTCCTCAACAGTTCATGTAATGATTAACATTCCTTTAGTTATTATATAAAAAAAGTGAAATATTCTACATATTTCAATTTTAAAAATCATATGTAAAGGCAATGTTAAAATTTTGTACAGTCCAAATCATAAACTGATATTTTGGTACCATATATTTTAAATAAAAGATGAAACAATTCAGATTGAAATTATAATTTTTATTAAAATGCTATCAAAAGATTACAGGTCAAAAAAATAAAAACTAATTAAATAATTAAAAAAAAATAATTAATAGTTAAAACGTCAAAAAATAAAATAATTGAGTAATTGACAAACATAAAAAATCAGAAGGGTCATTATCTTTCAGAAAAAATTTAAACAAAAATATTAAGATTTCACGGCATTACATTACTGAAAGTATCAGTTTTGTCATATAATCCAAATTTATATGGCTGTTGATTTTTAATCAGTTAGTTATTCAATATAACCAGTTACTTTAAGCATTAAAGTATGAATAATATAAATTTATTTGATATTTCTATTTCCAGACTTAGGAAAAAATGTCTGTTAAAAGCATTTTGTTAAAAAAAATCTGTTAAAGGTTTCTGCAGTTTACTAAAAAAAAAACATTGCCTATATATATATATATATATATATATATATATATATATATATATAATCTGAAGGGATAAAAATAAAAGTATAAATAAAATTAATTTTAAATAAGTTTACATTTGAAGACACCTAAAAAAGATTTATACAAAAACAAACTTCATCTATTTAAAATTTTGAAAATATTCCTTAGAAAGTTGACTAAATTTAAAAGGAATAACCAAACATTTATTAGATTTAGATTTAATTTCATGTCAAGCTTTCAATAATTCTTTGAATTTTTTTAATTTTTATATCCTATTTTAGATAATCTTGATATTTAAATAGACACATAAAAACAGTTCAGTTTTGTACAATTTGAATAGAATAGTGTAAAATACTTTTTAAATAAAAAATAAAATATATTTATTAAACAACCAATATATTAATTTGAATATGTTTCATAATACCTGAAATATTTGAAGGCAATTTATGCAGCAATTGTGATATTGTTTTTTACTTTGCTTTGACAAGTAATATATGGTTATAAAAGCAAAAGCTATTTTAAAATTATATATATATATTATAAATTAAAATATGGTTTCTTTGCTACACAGGAATTAACATGTTTCAAAAACCAAAGCTAAAAACATCAAATTTAATTATATAATTAAATTAAAAGCATTAGTTCTGTTTCATCTTCAAGTGAATTTTGGAAACAAAATTCGCTTGAAGATGAAAGATTAAACTAATCCTTTTAATTTAATCATATAATTAAAATTGAAGTTTTTAGCCTCAGTTTTGAAACATGATAATCCTGAGTTTCGAAACCATATTTTAAATCAGTTAATTTATAATATTTATGCTCTTAAATTTACATTGAACACTGTTTTTGTAAAAATAAAATTATCAATAAGAACACTGTTATTACTTTTTTTATTATATATATATATATATATATATATAATATAGTATAATATGATATGATATAATATAATATATATTACATGTTCTATTTCAAGCTCACCATATTTTGTCTGGTTAGTCATAGATTGTTCCAAGTGTTTGTGCTTATCATCTAAATACTGATTAGCACTGGATGTAAATCAATGCAAGATTTAATCTGTTATTTTACTTTTCGTGAAATATATCTAAAAAAGCACAAACCATCAATGTAAGTTATTTCTAGCACTTGGAAACATTAAAATGACAGTTTATTTCAAAAATTGCTTTTAATACTCAGATATTATCAGGCTATTTTTCATGTAGCCTTATAACTGGAAATAATGACATTGCTTTTATTTTGAAGTATTGAAATGTGCATATTAATTGAATCTGTCATTCAATAAAACACTCCAATTTTATGCAGTCATCAAAATCAATAATTACCCAATTCAAGAAATGTAATCCGTATCCTTTTACTTCAATTCTTGGTTATTTACTTTTATAGAAAATGCTTGTATAAAAGTTGTCTCTAACTCCAGTTAATCTGGGTTAAAGTAAAAGATTAAGAAACCAAAAGTAAAATCAAAAAAGCATCTAAAATTTTTTTAAAAGAAATAAGAAATCTATTTCTTTACAATAAGATCCTCTTTTTTTTCATAATTTTTATATATGAAGCTTTTATTGAAACTTTTATATAATTTTGTTATATATGACGAAATATGAATAGAGGGAGAATCGAAAACAAGAGAATCAACTGTGCTTTGTCACTAATTCAACCAAGATTTGACTCAAAAAAAAAAAAAAAAAATTGAGAAAAGATTATCAAATTATAGAAAATTAATAAAAAAAATATTCTAAAATAAGATCTTTAAATGACAGAATTTAATTCAGAACAATATCTTTACTAATTTATTAAATTTCAAAGAGTATTTTTTTTCAGCAATCTACAGGTTTTTGTCTGTGGAGAGGCAATCTTTAACACTTAATAGGTATATGAAGTGGTTAAAAAAAGTAGCTAGAAATTGGATCACAGAGAATTTTTACAGTTAAAATGCATTGTCTACCATATTTCTTGTCTCATATTGACAGAAAAGGAAACAAATTTGCAAGAGGAAATTCAAATAAACCTTTTCTCTTTATTACTTTATATCATTTTGTCTGTTCTATTTTTAATTAATAAAATTAAACATAAATCAAGCAAAATAGGTAACAAACATTAATAATAACAAATATAACAGCAAGAAAAAAATATTAAAACAATAATCTTCGCTCCTTTAAAAGTGACTGATACATCAACTAAGAAATAATAATCATAGATAAAAATGTTAGCCTGAATGAAATTACTAAATTGTTCCATATAAAGTTAGGGGCTTAAAAGACAAAAAAAATATAATGCAAATATAGAAAAAAAATTTGACAAATATTTGTATTTCTGAAATGAACAATTATTGAAATGCAAGAAATGATATTTATTGAGGCATATGCAACAATAAATAAGACAAGTCTACTTTTGTCTTGAGATAACATTTGAAAAAATAAAATTAGTCTTGAAAATCAATTAAAATAGCACAGTGGTTATGGCATATATTAAAAGTGCTAACAGATACTTTTGATTAGCCACTTTTATGAATTTTATATAAATGCTTCATTATTAACTCCCAAACTTATACAACTCCTTCAGTTACAATTTGGTCCCTTTTGGAGAGGAAAAATATAAAAATATTTGATTCTAATCATAGCCTTTTCTAATCCCATCTTAATTAACCCATCAAATTCAAAAGGTCAATTTTCTTCAACAGATGATAATATCTATACATTTCTCAGGAAAACCTTATGTTTAACCCTGAATAAAGTCCTACTAACCCCACAGACAACACCCTTTGAAAATATTTAGATTTTGCTTATAAAACTTGCTTTTCCCTGCAAAATAAAATTCTACTCAATGCAATGAATAAAGACAAGAACCAAAAGAAATTTCAAGTAACATGAATCATATCACTGATCCACTTAGTCATCTAACTATGCAGTATCAACAAATACAGTGGCAAACCAATAGAATGATAAAATAAGCCAATTTTATTAATTTTTACTCATAAATTCAATTACAATTTTCAGCATTTGGAAGAATTCTGATTTGTATTTCTCATTATTGTATTGATGTGAATGTGACAATTTACTCCAGTCTTGAAGACAACAGATACTAATCCTGATCAACCCTTTGCAGGTTATTTAAAGCCAGGAAATATTTTTAGATTGTAAGAATTTTTTTTGGAGATAATAATGTTTTTAGTAATACAAGTCTTACTAATTAACCCATAGTTGGGAGAAAAAGAGGTGGATTATACCTTTCTCAAGGGTATTTGCACATAAGTGAATATAACAAATTCAATGGGAATTGGAACTCATCTCACTGATTAACAATTCCGAGCCATTATCCATTACAGAACCTGGTATTCCCAAGCGGTCACCCATCTAGGTACTTACCAGGCTTGATGTTGCTTAACTTCAGTGATCGTACAGGAACTGATGCTTTAATATGATGTGACCAAAAGCCAGAAAAATTTAGAATAATGTATTTTACTATTAAAATAACCTTGCAACCTTGAATACATGAAATATTGATAGAGTAAAATGTAGAGCAAAATAGTTAATTCAAATATTAAACTTTGCAAACTGATTACATTTAACTTTTATGCTATTGAAGAACATGCCACATAGTCAAGTTACTGCTTTAAGACAATGCTTGTATATTGGAAACAATTTCAACTTAACATTTAACGAATTAAAGAAAATAAGATTATTATTGTCATCTTGAAAATTCCCATATAAATATTTAATTTTGTTTGAACTTAATTTTTCAATTTGTTCTGTTTAGAAGTTCTTGAAGTCATTGCTTAAAGATGAATTTCCCCGGCTAATTTTTTATTATAAATATCTAATCAAGAAATATTTATTCCACTCCTATTTTTATACATCAAATGAAATACAGAATACAGTGCAAATAAATTAAAGATATTTAGAAATGGAAAATACTTTATATTTCTTATCTTTTCTTGAGTTAAACCACCCCACCAAGTTGTTTTTAATATATACATACATACACATTATTATTGGGATTTGAGATTTTATATTATATATATATATATATATATATATATACCCAAAATAAATAATGAATCCATCTTTTGATTTTTACTTGCCCAAATGAACATTACAATTAGCCAATATTTTATTGAAATAACAGATATAACCTATTAAATTTGACCAAATGGCTAAATATTAGAATTGTTTTTCTTGGAATACCAAGAATTTTCAGTAATTTTGTCTCAAAAATTGAATTTTTTTGATAAAATTCACGATTAACATTTTGTTAGTTAAGTGATGAATTAATGCAAACATAATTAAGTATTAAACAAATATTAAATTAATTGTTTGATATTTTTCATTTTATCTAAATATAAAAGACTTTATTCTCTGCAAATAACAAAAGGAGAAAAGATTTTCAATAAGTGCTACCAGTTCTTCTCATGATTTATATTTATCTCTTTAAACACAATATAATAAAAAAATTGCTCAGAAAACAACATTTCTTGGCTCTTAATGTGAGATCATTTTAAAATAGACTGACAAAACTTTCCTAATTTTACAATTGGTTCACTTCAGATACCTACGCAAAAAAAGCATTCCTGATCCAATTATTGCCATCCCTAGAACAATATACCCAAAATAATATGTGAATCTGGATTTTTCTTCTGACGAAATATACTGCTATTAAAAAGAGGAAATCTAATTTCAAATTAGAATCTTTTCTTGACAAAAGATACTTCCCATGATTTTTTTGATGCTAATTCCATATCCATGCACAATCCAATTTACTGCTGTTTTTGTTTCTGAAGATGAATCAACGATTTCAACCTCGTCTCTAAAATTCTCATCAGTCTTCAATTTGACTTCTGAATTGATCTCTGCTAATGTTTTTGTTACCTGTATTTCTTGATCAGTGTTTTCATTTATTTCTGGCAATGTAATTAAAGATTTTACTTTGTTATTTATCATCTCTGTATTTGGTAAAGTCACAGTGGCTGCAAAAACTGAATCTTTTAATTCCACTGTAGAAGCTAAATAGGAGGTTGAGGCAACACTGTCTACTGCTTCAAGCAATAAAATTTTTTTTATTTTTTAATTCTTTGGTGTCTGGCTCAATCTTGTTGGAGAGAGAAATAAAAAAACTCTCAAAACAAAAAAATTTTGGGCATGCTTCCATTTTTGCATCTAAGAACTTTATTTGATGCATCTTCTGTTTTGAAAGTACATTCTTTCAAAAATCTTAAAATATCTTCCTTCAACATGATTTCACAAATTGTTTTCTGACCAAGAAACATTTGTATCCTCTGATATCACTGGTTTCATAGTGGAATCTATTATTTATATCAAAGAATAAAATGGCATAACATCTTTTGAAACTATTTTAGAAAGTTTCAAAAATAAAAATCCTCTCTTGATAATTTTTTATGTTGTTTACCATTTGATAATTTTCATTAATCCTCCCTTTGAGTTACTTTTATCATTATTTAAAAATTATTTAAATTTATTAATAACGAAATAGTATCACAAGAATGTAAACCAAAGTCATTCTGTAATTCTTCAGGGTTTGCAGATTCTAAAGAGTTTTTCAACGGTATTTTTCATTCTCTTTAATATCAATATTTTCAACACTAACTGAAAGGAAAATCTTTTCCAAATGATCAGGTTCTTTTATAAAGGAAAATTGTTGAGAAAAAAAATTTGATTCTAAACATTTTCAACAAACATCTTTGCAGTTTTCACCTCAGATCCTGATACTGTTTTAGTATCTTTACTTTCTTTTTCCATTTTTGGTTCATTTTTTATTTTGTCATTTTCTTCTGAATGAAAATGTGTAGTGTAAGATACAGGCTTAGAAATCTGAATTTGTTCAAATAGAGGATCATTGTGATCAGAGCATTTTAATAGATTAGATGCAGTTTCACTATGATTGTACTTTGATTTTGAAGTACTTTCAGACACAATATTGTCATTGCTTGCATCATCCAAGAGTAATGGATTCTTGGCAATAATTTCAAGCTCATTAGATTGTTCAATCAAATTTTGATTTTTTGTATCAATAGCTTCCATGAATCCAGAGTCAGCTATTTGAGGTTTAGTGACATCAGCAGAACAGGAAACAGAAAACGAATATTTTGGCATATCCATTTCAGTTATGACTGCCTTGTGTGGTAACACAGGGCTGATGGTCGGGGAGACATGCTCACCTTTCTTTAAGGAGTCATTGATTGAAGGGAGGAGATCTGGTACTGGATTGAAATCAGGTATGGAAATTGCAGACTCATCCTGGACTAATGAACTTGCTCCACCCACATATTCATGTTTATATTCAGATATTTCCCTAAGTTTCTTTGATAGAGATTCGTATTCCATCTTGTGAAGAGAAGAAAAAATTGCTTCAAGGTCAGCATCTGGATTTTCTTGGATCCAGTGATGAATCAGATGTTCTGTAGGGCTACCATCCTTGAAATGAATGTAAGCTACATCATCTGGTGAATATCCTGGTCAAGTAAGAAAAATATATCAATACATTAAACATTTCTGTATCACCTTGAAACAAGAAAATCATTGTTATAATAATTAAGAATTAAAAGATTTTTATGTCAATTGAAACAAGAATATAAACATAACATGAAAGAAATTACATTTTTAAATTTATTTATTGTGAGGTTCTGATAAATGAGAACAAAAGGGAATTGGCAGATTTTTTCATCAAACTGCTTACTCATTCAAGTGTTATAGAATATTTTCCGTTTTACCTGCATTCACATCAACAATTTTTCTGCTAAAGATTAAATTATTATGAAATATAATTTTATGACAGAAATTGTTGAGATCAAATGAAAATTGTTACAATAATTTTATTATACAACTAGTGTACTTATACAAGAGAAAAATTAAAAATAATTTGAGTCAGAAATGAATGTAAATACTAAAAAAATCATAGAAGATAGTATTTTGAATTTCATACTGATCATACATTTTCTAATAATGTTTGAGCTTCTAGTATTTTTAACTTTTTGATATGAAAGGAATGCCAATTTTTAATAGAAGTGTCACAGATGTGGGTGCATCAACAGCAAAATGTGCCATTGATTGCCAAAGTTGTTTACGCATGAATTTTCATCACCTGTCCAGGATGAGCAAGTATAAATAATGTCAATAAAAGTAACAACAGGTTAAGTTTATTTTCTGAAAAGATTAAAAAAATATTATATGTGACTAGAATTATTATGAAATAATTATCATGCTCCTGGTGGTCATTTTGTTATTTTTTTACTTCAAAGTACTTAATGATTTCTATTATCTGAAGAACATAATAAAATTAACTATACTTTTTTTATTAGACAAACAAAATAGTTAAATAAAAGTAGAATGTGTTAAATATACAAATGAAGGCAGAAATTAGCCGAGAAAGAGTGTAATGTTTGATCAGAAAAATATTTGTTTTATTTTATTTTTTGTTACAGCTCAGCTAGCTCACATTTTTATTGTATTCTATTCGATGATCATTTACTCTAATCTATAAAGATTTTAGTTCTCAGGAGGAGTGCAGAAGATCTTAAAGCAGTTCTTTGTTAAGAAAAATAAAATGTTGCGGAAGATGGAATTATAAAGTTACTGGAAACATGAAACAACAAAGAAAATATGTTAAAAAATTATCTATTTTTACTAAACAGATTGGTTATATACAATGCAGCAGATAATCATACATTATTAGGCATTATGTCTATCTCATGTCTATTTCACTAGTTGACTACAATTGTCTGTTATTTTCTATTTTGTGTGAAATAAGAATGGGGAATGTAAAATTAGCTTATGATTATGATTAGATCTAAGAAAATCTCTTAAAATAGAAAAAAGTTCCTTAAGTTAAAAGGAAATTCAATTCAGTTTCAAGTCAGGTCAATCAGATCATATTACCCTCAACACACTTTTTATCTGCTAGATGTTGTTATAGACAAGCGTATGGTTGCAAGAAAGAAATACGACAACAGTAGAAATAGATTTACGCGGTTTATTTCAACAGGAACCTGAAGGTTTGGGACAGCTACCTTGGTGTGGTAAAGTTCATAAGCTGGCTTTCGGATCTGGTCGATCTCTCATAGTAGTTCACGCATGTTGACGGTGGTTGACGCTCTCCCTGCTTGACAGCTGCTGAACGTGACAGGTCTCTTCCCTGGCCACCTGTTGACTGCCTGTTGAACTTCCCTGTGACCCCTTTTATAGCATTTTTTATGGCTTAACAGGCTCAAAAAAACGAAGCGAGTATAATTAGGAGGGAAGCATTTTTATTGGACGAAAAATAAAGCACTTTTAAATATTATTTTATTTTTCGACCGGAACACATGTGTCGGAAACATTTGTGAAGAAAGATAATGGTCATTTTGTGACGGGGCTTTGTCCCGTTCACATCCAGTTCTCGCTCTTGAGTATTTGCCTGTAAATCAGCCGAGATAT